CCAGCACAGCATTTACAAATCTTCTTTTGCCCTTTGAGTGAATTAAACAGCAGGGTTTTAAAAACTCTATTATTGAGCTGAAAAGATCTTCAAGCTTTCAAATGTCAGACTGACACATTATAAAAGGCAGCACGTTCACCTAAATACTGGTGGTTTTTCATTTGTCTTGGGAACGATGGCATAATAATTATTGACAGCTAATGCAAACACACACCTCTTCATGCTTGATTTAACTTCCATAGGTATAGAAAAATAGCAAAATCTATTAGTACAAAGAAAAATATACTATTGGCTGCATCATCTCTGATACAGCTGTTATTTTTCTAAGTGCTCATGCTTTACATAAAGTAATTGGGGTAACTGGGGTTTCACCTTGACAGACTTAGCGTAAGGTAGTGTAATATAATTGTCTTGCTGAACTGAACAGGAGCAGTAATTTCTTATGCCACCACAGGCTGTTCTGTGGCGATGCGTATGCTTGTCAACTGTCTAATCTCTATTACTGTCATCCTAAGAGACAGGCCCCTAGGCTCCAATCTGAAAGGAGCCTATGTGTAGGTTTGACTCAGGTGCATTGGTTTAATTCTGCAAATTAGCGTGTGTGTGAACAATAACTAAGGCATGTCAGAGCTGAGTTGCAAATGCAACTCATGTCAGTGTGCAAAATGACTCCACATCTCACCTTCCTCACTCAGACGAAAAGCCTGGGAACAGAAGCTCAGACCTCTATTAGTTACTAAAACAATCTCACGGGACTTAAAGGCATACTGCTATTTTTGCCTATTGCATGTTTGTTGCATATCTCCTCCCTAATCTTTACAAGTGCCAACCTCTTTTCGCATCTTCCCAGCTAATCGTACCATCTCTACTACGTTTTTCTTTTAAACTGCACAATTGATCAACATAACGTGACTTACCTGAGCAAGCATTTTCAATATTCACTTGATGGTTTTGGTGTTTGATCTGAGTAAATGGGTTTTTGATTCCTTTCATCTACATCAATCTAATGCAAGGTATTTACTTATGAGCACTTCCCCAATTAGATATTCAGGGCATTAAGTTATGACCACTGTAAACATCTGTGGCATCTGTCCACCAAAGTCAGGAATGCTTTTAAAGAAAGGAGATCCAAAAGTAAACCGTCAATGAGAGGTCATTCCTAAAAGCTAATAAAATAGCTTTCTATCAGCTTAAATAATTCTGTGAGCCTCTGCTTTTGGATATATCCTTCATATACTCAGCACCACTTATATTGCATCTAGTGTATGAAAGACAGCGAACATATCCCTGCAATGCAGCAGGACAACTGAAATACCTTGAGATATATCTTCTACATAAAATAGTAATTCTTAAATGTTCTACAGATGTGCTATGTTAAACATTTAAAACAGATCTATAGTAGTAATGTTTACAGAATGTAAAGATTCACCTTTTAAAAGAAAAGATAGATACAGGGATTTTTCACCTGCGTGCTACTGGAATGGCCACAGAAGTCTGACACTCTTACCTACACAAACTTACCCTAAACAATTATTCCTGCCCCCTCAGGAGTGACACTAAAACTTATTTCAGTAATATAAAGGGCTTTTTGTTGCCTCATTTTAGGGGCAGGTTGTGGGGAATGATTGCATCTACGCTGCACACTTGTATTTTAATGCTGCAATGATGCATCCCTCATGCAGAGCAGGTTGGCTTTCATTCTAATGGCGATATGCAGATGCCTCCCCACCTTACTGGGCAGTGGTAGGTGCCTGACGGTAACTGTAGAAAGCAATGAATTGTATCAGCAGGAGGGTAAGTCTCTAATATCCATTAACTTTGGGTCAGACTTAGAAATTTCTTCTCTTCTAAATTTTCAGGACACATTCAATTCTTCTGACATAAAAATTCTGAACTAAAAAATAGCCTTGTCTTAGGATATTTAAATAAGATGCCGTAACTAATGTGATTTTTTTTCTTTATTTCTTACAGACCAATTAGAAGAACCAGAATGTGGTAATACTTCATATGCATACAATTTTTACATAAAATTAATGCGACTTCTAATACTTTTGGTATCTTTGCCAGCTTTTCTCTTTCTAATGTCTCTTCACGTTCTAACTTTCTTCTTTCACTGTTTGCTTTCCTAGGTTTTGCTGTAAGACACTGTGTGTTTTCACTGGTATCAGATGTCTTTCTTGGACCTTGCTATCCAATTGCAAACTGTATGACTTATTTTTACTGCTGTGACACACCTACATGCACCGCTCCCTCACCTCCCCATGTTGTTTAACAGGGCAAAATACTCTTTACGGGGCACCTGGCAAGTGCTGACTTTGAATTCCAGCAGATTTTCCATCTGCTAGAAAACTTCATCCCATAATTATAATTCCCAAAGGAGATATTTTGATGAGTATTCAGAATTCTTTTCCTTTGGCATTTAGTTGCTAAGCTGTCACTATCATTATGTGTATTGCACTACATTTTTCTAAATACCAGTTTTTATATTTATGATTTTGCTGACCAGTTTCAGAAATGAGGTTCTAAGGAAACTGAGCTCTAAATCTGCAGCTTTGATAAGCTCCTGTTGATATGCAGCTGTAAGCTTTACACTGTGACTGCTAACTACGTCCCTAGCCCCTGCCTGGTTACCTTGGCTGGATAACACCAGCAGGACTAAGGAAATCATGTCTATTTTTTTTTTTTTAATGTTTGTAAGATATTCAACAATCAGTACTAGGAGAGCTTGGATCAATGACCACATCAATCACCACAAACTTGCTAATTTTGAGAAAGTTAATCTGTGCCAGCAGAGAATCAGAGTTGGTATCTAATTGCAAGAAGAAATTTTATTACACATTACACAGGCATGGCTGGCCACACTGAGGAAACGTGGACAGGAGAATAGGACCACAGGACCTTTGCAGGCACTCTCACAGCACCCATGTGAGACTTAACAACTCAACTCAGCCTTACTCTGCCCTGGCTAAATTGCCTTAGCTTTCTATCAGGAGATAGGCATACCCGTACTCAGCTCACATGCATGCTCAAATTGATAGTTCCCTTAGACCTTAAGTCCATGCAGTATCCATGACCTGACCTTGGGCCCTTTATCCAGCCCCCAGTTCAGCCCTTGGGTCTTTCCAGATTCTGGTCTTCTCCTGCTTACCAGCTAGTCTGAATTGTAATTCATTGGCAGATCTCTCTTGCTCACATACGCACAGCAAGAACACAGAAGGTACACTCAATATACTTTTTGAGTATACACTCAGACACAAACCAGTTTGAATTAACATTGGACTTCAGTTGGATTATTGTTGGATTGGGCACAGAGCCTGGCCAGGTGAGCATACTGATCAGCAACCTGCTTACATGTGGCAAGTCCTGTTTATCCCCCTTCCTCCAGTCTCCCACACTTGTTCCTCCCTGATCCTTCTTGATCTCTCTTCCCCGCCTTTGGCTTCTGTCCTAGGCATACTGTTAAGAAAGTGCAGTGTGTTTACATAATGTTTTCCTAACAGCATCTTCTACTGAGAAATGTTTTTGTTGGTCTATCAAAGACATGCGTGTGCATGCACACATGAAGTTGTGATCTGTAACTTATTTTTGAATTTCAGAAATTCCATGTTCACATCCTAGCACAGGATCCATTAGCAAGAATGGCAAGATAGAAGAATTCCTGAAGAACTTCAAGAACTTGGGGGCAACTCAGGCAGAAGAGCCAGCTACTGAAGGAAAGGATTCTGCTAGCTCTCCAAACACAGAAATCTTTCCTCCACCTGAAGGACCTTGCTTCCACATACATCAAGATGATGTTCAAGCATCTGACATCTTTGAGTCGTTGTTACTCTTCTTAAATAGGAAGGAGTATGAGAGAAACTTCAAAAACCTGTATGATTTCTCTTATCCATTTATCAATAGCATGTTTTATGGATTTTCAGAAGAAGAAGAACTAGTTAGCTTTCTTAGACTAGCAAGGGAAGCGGCAAAGAGAGCAGGTATGTCCTGGGCGCTAGCAAGACTATGCTTTCTCCTAGGCAGGCTCAGTGTTAAAAAGCTGAAGTTTTCCCAAGCTCGGGTGTATTTTGAGGAAGCGTTGGGAGCAGTAGCTGGAGGGTTTAGTGATTTGTACTTCGTAATTGCTCTTTATACAAATCTAACAGTCATCTACTTGACACAGAAGAACAAAGAAAAATGTGCTCATGTTTTTGACAAGGCTACATCTCTTCTCATGGGAATTCCCAACTACATTTGCAGTGCTGACCTGGAGTCAGATATTCTAAAGTATGCTCTGAAGAGGACAATTTTGAGCCAGAACAAACATGCAGAGGCAAGGGCATGCTTTCTCCTGGCAAAACATTACAGTGTACACAAACAGCATGAAGAGGCACTACCATTCTTGGAAAGGTTTCAACTGTTGCTTAATGACTTGGGTTTACAAAACAACTTATCAAACAACTGTTATTTCAAACTCGCAGAGTCCTACAATGAAAAGTGTTTGCCGCACATTGTATTAAGTTGCATAAAGGTCACCTCTTCCCAGAGCTCCAGTGCTTTAACGGATTCCTTGAAAAGGATTGATTTAGTTATCAAAAATGCTCCCAAGCTCTATGGCCTGAGGAAACTTAGACAAATACTCCCATCCCAAATTGCACCTTACCTCATGCAAGCACTTTCCTCTGTGTTTACTAAGGAGCAGCAAGGGCTATGCAGCACTATCTGTCTTAGCCTAGCAAAACTGTACAGCCACCACAAACGGTATGGAAAAGCCATTGTTTACATGACGAAAGCACTGGACTCTGATGTTTCTGCTAAGCCAGAGGAAACCATTAACTATTTGGTTTCACTCGCTTGGTTACACGTTCTTTACAGGCAATATGATGTGGCTTTAGCCATTTTAAATGCTGTTGTAGACTCTTCATGGAGCAACCCCCAACAACGAGGCATTGCTTATAATATGCTTGCTATTGCTTTGAAAAGAACAAACAATAGAAAAGAAGCTGCTGAGAGCTACTACAAAGCACTGCGTCTTTCAGAAGAGACCAGTATGACCCATAACCAAGCCATAGCCCTGGCTAATTTTGGGGCACTCTGCCTGCATGCAGCTGCCAGCAAGCTGGCAGAACACTATTATATCAGGGCAGTGAAGCTATTCTCCAAACTTCCAAGTATGGACTGTGGCCAAGACTTTACCCAAGTCCTCCTTCAGTTGGGATGTTACTATGTTGGTGGAACTCAAAGAGAAAAAGGAAGATTTTATTATGAATGGGCTTTTTTAGTTGCAATGGAGACAAGTCATCTGGAAAGTAAGTATGGTTTGGTCTTTTTTCTCTCTAAGTTATGAAATGCACCCTGTTTAGGAATGTTTGTTATATAGGTATGTTCTAGTTGTTCCTAGGTATGTTATAGTTGTTCCTTAAACAACATTTTATGTCCAGTTATGTGATAGCTATTGAAGTGATTGAAATCTTTCCTCTGTCCCATAATGGTGGAGAAACAAAGACATGTTGGCTTGCTCTTCTGTTGGTATTTAGGGTTGTCAGAAATGACAGAGAAAATGAAATGTTAAGAAAAACTAAATTAATTAGTAAAAAGTCTAGAGATTTCTATGTTCAATAACATTTACAATAGATACGATATAATTGGTAATATAAACAGCTCCAGAGTTGAGTTTAAGGGTATGAAAACAATCGGTAATCTGGATAACTGTTGCATAAAATAGTTCTGTGTAGAAGACCCACACTTTATTTATTTATTCTTGCTATGACTAAGGCACCTTATACAGGTAAGGTGAATGTTTTATTACTTTATTTTGGAGATGAATTTTGAAGTAACCTGTTTGTTAACTTTGGGGGTGAAGAAACTGGCAGTGGAATCTTCTTGTTATGACTTCTGTTATTCATTGACTGTGCTGAACTTGTAAAACGGTAAGAATTAATTATTTTAAAGCTAACTTAACTTTCATTTTGAAAATAGAGATTCATGTTGGTATTTCCAATCTATTCTTCTAGGTCAGCTACAAGCAATTAAACTGCTGTGTCAGTTCTACAGTACAGTTGTTCCCAATGAGGCTCAGTGTGTCATATACAATGAATATCAACTATCTTTAGCTAGAAAGATGTCCAACAAAGTTCTGGAGGGACAAATTTTGGAAACCATTAGTCAGCTCTATTTATCTTTAGGAACAGAAAGGTAAGACATGCTGAATGACTTTGCTTTTATTCTGATTGTAGTTTTTCTGTTATGATAAAGGATATAAATTTTTGCAACATCTGATTGATAGAATGGTTTGGGTTGGAAGGGACCTTTAGAGGTCATCTAGTCCAACCCCCCTGTCATCCTCAACCACATCATGTTGCTCAGAGCCCTGTCCAACCTGACCTTGAATGTTTCCAGGGATGGGGCATCTACTGTCTCTCTGGGCAACCTGTTACCATGTTTCACCAACCTCATTTTAAAAATATTTTTTCCTTATATCAAGTTTAAATCCCTCTTTTGGTTTAAAACCATTACCCTTGTCCTATTGCAACAGGCCCTGTTAAAAACTTGTTGCCATCTTTCTTATAAGCCCCTTTTACTGAAAGGCTGCGATAAAGTCTCCCTGGAGCCTTCTCTTCTTGAGGCTGACCAGCCCCAGCTCTCTCAGCCTTTTCTCATAGGAGAGGTGCTCCACCCTTCTGATCATTTTTGTGGCCCTCCTCTGCACCCACCCCAACAGGTCCATGTCTTTCCTGTGCTGAGGGCTACAGAACTAAATGACTGATTTTTATTTTTTTTTCACCCTGCTTTGCCAGTACACTCTGTTAGAATTGAAGGGTCCTGCGCTAGAGGAGACTTCTCTTGTTTTTCTTTTTTTTTAAAGTAACTATCATCTCTCAAGGGAGACCAGATGTTCAGTAGGGATTAGCACCACTTCAAGAACCAAATTATTTTAAAAATCTATGTAAATACATTTAAAATATGTTATGCCACTCTTGATGACTGCTGTAGCTCTAGGATTATTGTTGGCAGGTGACTTGTTTGTGATGATAAATCTTTATAAGACAATTTTTCCATTAGAAACCAAATGCCATATTCCAAACAGGTCAGTCATCAGATGGTCTCTATGTAAGTGTTTCTCTTTGAGGAAATGCTTCTTTCAAAACTTACATAAGCACAAATCCTACATGCAAAACTACATAGTGTCAGTCTCTAGTAATTCCTAGACTGCTTTTATTTTCAGAATACCAAACTTTTGCTTTGCTTTATTGAAAAAACAGACTGCACAAGTCAATTTATAGTAACTAACAGGTGCTGGGGAAACTTACAGGTTTTTCTAGACACTTTTAAAGTGTTTTTTAAGGCAGCTTTGATTTTTTTCTTACTGTACCTCACTTCAGGGAGTCACTTTAGATTTGGGGATTTTTTAAGCATGCTTCAGTAAGGATGGAAAAAATATCCTCAGTTATGGAAACAGAGTAGATGCCTATTTTCCTTTAAGTGGCTGCAGTCCAAGCATCTCACTTTCCTAATATGTCACCTAATTTATTTTGCTTTGTTCACTGCTGTTCAATGAGATAGTTGGTGAAAATCCTTTGGAGAGGCTGAAGACAAAGGAGCTGGTTAAGATTTCAAACTACCCGGAATTTGCAGAAGTATTTCACTAGCTGGAGAAGCTGCTGCTTTGTGTGCACGTAGTGCATGGAATTTATTACAGAATCATAGAATATCTCAAGTTGGAAGGGACCCATAAGGATCACTGAATCTGATACCCTGCTCCTTGCCTAGAAGCCTGGCTCACGAGTAATGTTGGCTGCGTAACTTTAGCAGACTGCCGGATAATAGCACAGCCTCAGTATGATACTAGACTGTAGTATCACAGTATTCTTTAACAGTCCCAAGTAACAAGGATTATGTGTCTGTGATGAAGTAATGAAAACAGTGATGTCCTTGGTGTCACCACTTCCATTATAAACTACTGTGGCCATGTCAGGGGATATAGCCTGGCCTGTACCAGTTGCCGTGCTGGGCTATGGATTCAAATATGCTTCTGTCAGCTGTAAAAGCAAAAACTCTGAAGGAGGGATGGAAGCTGCATTCAGTAATTGGGCTGAGTTGGACTACTTTAACTACCTTGCCTTTCCTCATGCTCACAAAGAAGAGAAGACTGAAATGTCAGGCTTGTTCAGTGGATCTTTACTTCCTCTCATGAAGCAGTGACAGGTCTCTTCAACTTCTGTAAGAACCAGGACATGGTAAAAGCATTTCCCTCCCCTCCAATGGGATACCACATTGAGACAGAACTGAAGTCTTGATAGTGTGAAATACTAGGGAGCACCTTACTTCTAGATTTGTTTCAGATCTGTTTGGAGGTCTAAGTAGGTTGTTTTAAAGATGCACTGTGTAAAGATTCACTGTAACTGCGCAGTTCATGTTATATCTTAATATGTTTGGGTCTTGTGCTTGGAGGAAAATGCAACAGGTCAAGGTCATGAGAGTCTATCACCAGATGGATAGAGAAGGATTTAATAAGGAAGTCTGGGGCTTCTGTGTCTGGCATGAAGTACCATAAGCTCAATCAATCTGACAGGTCTTTCTAATGAAAAGTATGAGAGCACAGTGCCCTTACACTTAAAGAAAATTTCACTGCCCAGTGGTCTGATAATTTTAGATGCCTCTAGAACTGATCATGTCTTGTCTGTCCTTCTCCAAGATTTTCTATAAATGCTGATTAGTTTGAATTGTGCTTAAGTCTGAGGCCTGCATGATATTTAGAAAAAATATTTAATGAAACAATTTCTTTCTGAGGTTTGTGGGAAAAAGCCATAAATGATAATCATTAAAGATAATGATAAAGAGCTAAAGATGAAGAAAGATTTTTCCACCTGTCACTAGCCTGACATGTAGGGGAAGGACACATCTAAAATAAACTATCCTGAAATAATATAACGTGATAACAATCTAACAGAAAACATGGGTTGGAAAAAAAAAGGAAGAATAATAGGAAAAAGACCAAATTTTCTAGTAACGAATGGAATGTAGCTGAGAAATTATAATTGTGCATTGAATAGAGGAAACAGATTGTTTCTTACATTAACATAAACCTTTTTTCATTATGCAGAAAAACATTCCCAATTCTGAAGAACCTCTCAGTGATTAGCAGTTTTCCCCTGTTTCAGGGCTTACAGGTCAGCTCTGGAGTATACCAAAAGAAGCCTTGGAATATTTATAGATCTCCAGAAAAAAGAGAAAGAGGCATATGCTTGGCTACGGGCAGGAAAGATATATTACATTCTGAGGCAGAATGAGCTTGTGGATCTTTATATTCAGGTATGTTGTCAACACTTACAGGTGTGCACGTGTTGTCAACATGGTGCAGGTGGCATGGTAAGAAGAGTAAGTAATTCAATATAACAATCCCAGAGATTTTGCTAACTGCTGTTGTGAACATAAAGTAACACAATTTATGTAGTGCTTAACAGGTGAAAATCTCAATGTTTTTTGGTGGCACTCCATTTTAATCTGTCACTTGACTCTGGAAAGATTTTGGGCAGTGAACTTCCTTAGTGCCTGCTCTGTTGTAAATTCCATGTCTGTGTTCATCATCTACCAGCTCTACAGCACCACAGCAATCAAACCCTACATGCGTGCTACATGCTGGTGGATAAGAGATAATAATCATCTTAGTATGCTGGCTTGTGGGGCAGGTCCCCAGGAAAACAGAGTAGCTTTTCCAGGAAGTATTTCCAAAGCATCTAAAGCTTTCCTTCTGTGGCCATGCATAGCATGGCATGGAGCCAGCTGGAGCTGCTGCTGCTGCCTTTGCAGCAGTGAGCCAGGAAGCATGCAGCTTGCACACCTCGGACCCCCCGCAACCAACTGGGGCCTGCTGTGCTAACACAGACTGAAAAATTACCTGAAACAGGGATCTAGCCTTTGTGGCTGCTGAAACTGGACGATCTGGAGTCTTTCTCAGAGTTGCACTGCAGTCCAGATCTGACTCCGTCATCTAAATGGCTTCTAGCCGTTCACTGAAGTATCTGGGGAATTAGTTTCTTCCTTTTGTAAAGGGATTAAAAATATCTTCCATCATAAGGGACAGTGCTGCCTTGTAGTGCAGTATGTATACAGAACCTGATATAGTAAGATCTGAGTCTTGGCTGGTGTGTGAGTGGTTCCAAAATGTGATCCCTAAATAAAATAACTACCCATCTGTTAAGATGTTTTGAAAAAATTCTACAAAGAAGCATAAAAACATAAGAAACGCATTCATGTTCAGAATGTACTCAAATACAATATGTGGGGCTACCTTAATGATTTTTTTCTCTCAATTAAATCAGATTTTTTGGGTACTTACAAGGAAAACAGAATAAATGTGCTTACAGGAAGGGACTGTTAGAGGCCTGTTATTTCTTTTCCTAAATGCTTTTAGCAAATAGTCTGTCACCTGGTGGTACAGAAGCCAAATCAGCATGTGGGATGATTTTCTCCATCTGCTTTATTTCCTCCAAGAGGAGGAGTAGGCCAGGGATGTGCATGTGTATTCCATACTGTGCATGTATGGAGTTGGTATTTAGAGCAGAGTCGGTGCATCTCCATGAGGAAAGACTCAAAGCAGGAATCTGCCCACTAAAGGCTGACTGCTGTGCCAGTAATTTGTGCAAGTTATCACATCTTAACTTCCATGTAAAACAAGTTCCAAAAATGCGATGCAACAGAGTCTTCAGGTGCCCAAAGCCAAAATAGGCTGAAAAGGATTGCTGCTGTTGATGTTGAGAGCTGCACTTGTATTAATTGAATGCAACTTAAACTAAAGATCCCAAAACCAAAGCAAGATGCATCAACTTGCTTCATGTGCAAGTCCCTTTTCTCATTACTACTTATCCCATCAGTAACTGAGTACCCTGGTATCTGTGTTTTGGGCAAGACACATGCTGCCTTTCATGAAGTCCTTTTTGCTAACATGGCCTATATTTATTTCAGAATAACAAGATAGCAGAGCTGCATTTATTTACAGAATTTGCTTCACAGGTTTTTAAACCTGCACTGTCAGCAATACCTAACTTGCAAATAGAATTTATTTCTATGTTAAGTGCAACTTAATTCAAATGTAATATGTTTCAGCTATCAAATGCGCTATTAGTTTTTAGAGTGCCGTGTGCTGACATAGGTAGCAGGGTACTAATGCCAGAAAAAGGGAGAGAGTAACACTATGTGCCCAGGTCCTTACGTTCCTCCTTCAGCCACTGGACTGCTCAAAACCAGGGTACCAAAAAGACAGAGCATGGTCTCATAAAATACAGCCTTTCCTGTCTTAGAATGAGAGGCCTTAACAAGATCCTTTTATCTTTTTTCAGTTGCTAATATTTATGATTGTGGGGTTTTTACCAAGAAGTAACCAAGATTTTCTTTCTTTCTTTCTTTCCCTGTTCCTTGTTTTCTTTTCAGGTTGCTCAGAATGCTGCTCTTTACACAGGAGATCCAAATTTAGGAATGGAATTGTTTGAAGCTGCTGGAGACATATTTTTCAATGGTACTTGGGAAAAGGAGAAAGCAGTGACTTTCTACAGGGTTTGTGTGGTTTTTCTACTGTGTTGACAGTTATGTACCCTCCCGTCACAGCAGGTGTTCTACAAATGCTGAACCAAAAGCTGACCCTCTCTGCAAACAGTTTATAACCTATTGCAGCTGAGGACTTTGTCATGGTGTTAATAGATTTCACCTGTTGCAACTCCCTGGTGTAAGATATGCCTTATGCAAAGAAACCAGAAATTGCTTGACGTGACATATGTGGAAATGTTTCAGGATAGGGCTCTTCCACTCGCTGTTAAGACTGGCAACAAAACCACCGAACTCAGATTATGCAATAAACTAGTGGAATTGCTGGTGAATCTGAAAGCTTATGAGGAAAGTCTGGAATATGCAAGAGCATCTCTTGTGCTCAGTGTAAGTTTAGGTAAGACCAACTTCCATTACAGCTGAATATTACTGATATCTCCAAAATAAGGCAGAAGTTGAAAAAGCTTTCTTCCTTTGAATTCAGTTTTCATGCCAGATTTCATGCCAGGATTTCATAATGATACTGTCACTGCCATTTTTGCTTCCATTCAAGAATGAACAACTTCATTGCTGTCTCTTCTAACTCCAAGCTTATACGGAAAACCTTTGGTAGAGCACAGAATTAAACCTGATATTCCAAGTGAAAATTGAGTGTTACTCTCACAAATAATCTGTAATACTAATGAGTAATATTGTTCCAAGAGGCTTTTGAGAGTCATATTTCTTTCAGATTTGCTTATAGCCTTGCTGGTGAACTGACCTTGGAAAAGGTAGTAAAAAATGATAAGGCTAGTTTCCAAAATGGCTATTCTTTGAATCTGGAGCTGTTCAGCTGATTAAGAACCCTCTTACTCCATACCCACACAGATGGGTCATTTTGATCAGCCTGAAAAAACATGGTTTTGTCATAACTTTTGATGTAAGTATGTACTGGGAGGCACAAGGGAGTCTTTAATCCCATCAGCTACTATACTTTCAAAGTAATCTATTTGTTTTCTTTTTAAGTATGCACAGATTATGTATATCTATACATGCGAGAGATGAATGTAGTTATTTCTTAAGAAAATCCCAGACGCTTTCAAATCCTACACTGGGAAATTCTGGAATTCTGTGGGATTATTTTATAGGGCAGGGTTTGGGCATTTATCTCTTGAGCAAAATTAGTTTTATTCAATAAAAGATCAGCAAATACCATATAGAAGTAAAACAAAAAATAGCATAGATATATTCTGGTTTGAGACAATATAACTACTTTGTCTCTTTGGTTTTATGCTGACTCATACCTTATCTCATTAGGAAATCAGCTAAATGAACGAATAGCTTACCATCGGCTGGCTGCCATCAATCATCATTTGGGTCACTGTGAACTAGCGGAACACTTTTATTTAAAGGCCTTATCCCTCTGTTCCTCTCCTCTGGAGTTTGAGGAGGAAACACTGTATTACGTCAAGGTGTACTTGATCTTAGGAGACATTATATTCTATGACCTTAAGGTAAGAAACACCAAAAACCGCTGCAGAAAATTGTGACATTGAGTAATGTTTCATAACATCAGGTTTTACCACATTCTGGGTTTATGCATTTAGAATGTAAATAATAAAGTAGGAAAACCTACTGAAGCTCAGAATCAATACTGTTCTCATTTGATACCTAATAAACTGAGCTTGGACCTATAAAGGGGTGCTATCTTTGTGTCTCTGATTTCAGGATCCTTTTGATGCAGCAGGCTATTATCATTTGGCACTTGCTGCTGCCATGGACCTGGGCAATAAAAAAGCTCAACTGAAGATCTACACAAGACTCGCAATCATCTACCATAATTTCCTTGTGGATCGGGAAATGTCTCTCTTCTTCTATCAAAAGGCAAGAACATTCGCAACAGAGCTGAACGTTAGGAGAATAAATCTAGCTCCTGATCAGTGTTATAAGAGTTCATAAGCATCTTTGTAAAATGCAGTTTAACAACTACAGGAGTACCTCAAGAAGTACTGCACTGGCTTTGTAGGGGGATGCAGAATGCATTCAGTGTCTCAGTATGCACATGTTTTTAAGCCAGAGCTCAGCATCCCGGACTAAATTAGCAGTTTATATGATGGTGAACTACATTTCATTGTCTCCAAGACATACACCCTTGTACTTGTTGTTTAAGGATCAGCCCGTGAACTAAAACAAAAACCCAACAGTCTTTTTTTAAACTAAATTTTTCTTTGCTATCTGTTTCTGCCTAGCTGGATACCAGAAAATGATCAATGCATAGATGCAATGATGAAAAATATTTAATAAAGTGTTATAGAGAAAAACACTCCAGACAAATTGTCCCTTTGTTTGCATGGCGTAGTACTTGTATGACCTAGCTCTGTTGTATTTGAGAATTGGTTTGATCCAGGCACCACTCCTCATTTCCTATCAAATTCATCTACTGCAGTAGTTATAGTCCCTAGTTAAGATGTATCTTCTAATTCCTGAAAGCACTTATGTACATGTTGCAATAACTAACTGGTTATTTTAGTAACTGAAGTCTCTAGTAATACATAAATTGTAGCTTTAAGGATTTTGGTGGTCAGGCGAAGGCCTTCTCTCCCTCTTTTCAAATTATCTGTTTGGCTTTTTTCAACTAACCCTTTTCAGAACTGTCAGTATTGTCTGCAGTGACTTATTGCAGCATTTCCTACCATCTTACATATAACTACATTATGTTCAGAAAAATATACTACTTCACTTTAGTTGCAAAAATTCTAGATTGTTAATTTTGGTAGTTCTAAATCTTTGTGCCTCAAAACACTTTCATGCCAAAGCTATAGTAGAAATGACGTATTAGAACATGCTGTATATTTTCAGAAGGAATGTCAGGGTCATAAATCTGATAATCTTGCAATTAAGTATTCAGATATGTTTTGAAATGATGCCTTTTCATTCTCTGCAATGACTTCATATAGAAACTGCTATTTTATTTTTAAGAGACATTGCAAAGAATGGAAGTATGGAAGTGTCTTTGGAAGATGCGCATACAATCTTAGAAACCAGCTAGGGGTTTTTGGCTACATATTATATTTTATTTCTGTCAAACCTGGGGAAAGGTGTAAAAAAACCAACTTTGTCTGTTCTGTGTAGCCATGTACTCTCACTGCTTTGGTTCTTCCTCTAAGAATCTATCTTTTCGTAAAATTTGTCATTCAGAGTGCACTCTGAATACTTTCCATGTATACATTCAGGTATCTGACTTTCGTTGTCTTTTTGACCTTGTGAATTCTTCATTAGCTTCTTCCCTAGAGAAAGAGAGGATACTCATATATTATCTAGACAGACTCAAACTTAGGGTACTCTCCAGGGAGGTGGGAAGTGGATCTTCTTCCTCTGTGAGTGCTGTAAGCGCACTAGTCTATATAACAGGTAGTTGCCACTATCTTGATAACTGTGACCTGTCAATTACTTTGAAGAGAAGAGTTGACTTCTTAGGTAGACAAAGTAATTCTGCAGCCTTGCATTTGGCTCAAAGGTCCAGGAAGTGAAGTGGGGCTTCAGCTCTACACCTTTGAGCTTAAACATTTTGTACTTGCTATTTCTAGAAGGCTCCTTGCACAGTAAGTATTTCTTTTTCCTCTTTTGATGCTGTAAGGACAACTTAACTGCTCCTGTGTTTTCAGTTTTCTGTTGAGGGTTAGATGGCTAAAAATAATGAACACGATAGTACGTTGCTTGTAAATATGCAGCATCATTAAATATATATCAGCACTTTGCTTTTAAAAAATAAAAAAGCTTTATGTTGGGTAGTGAATCAGACCTCTCAAGTCTTGATTGTAGAAATGTGTGTACCGCTCAATGCAATTCTGCACACAAGGTTTTTTGGACACTCCCAGTCAGACTTGAACTAAGCATTAACGTTGAAAGTTTTACTGTTCAGGTGTCTTAGGAACTTACCTTGAAGACTCAGATTCAGACTGGTGTCATATTGTCCCACTAAGCATGGGAAATTAATTATCCCATATTCTCTTCCTTAAATCCCAACAGAAGTCCTTTATGATCTCTGCAGAGCTGGGAAAATTCTGGATGTGCTCTTGTTCAGTGACTTGATTTTCGGTGCTTGGCAGTCTATTTTTCAGTTTCATTTGACTTTCAGACAGGATAAATTTATAACTTCTCTCTGGTTCTGATTACTGTTATCACAGGCAGTCTCCTTGTGTTCTGGGAAGGGAAGTAGCACTTCCTAATCTAGAATTCAATTCTGTTGATAAGACCTGTCTTCTTTCTTGCATTTCTACTTCACCTTATTGCCCTGATTCCACAGAAATTTTGCTTTCATAGCAATCCAGTCCTTTATTATTAATTTACCCTTTAATGTTAAATTGTGCTCGCACAGTGTATAGCACACTAAATTTCTTGGGCATTCTCTTCAAGCTAGTTGAACAGCATACAAAAATGTACCCAGCTTTTGAAAAGGCAGCACCTGAATTCTCTCCTTGCTCTGACACAGGAATTTTGTGTTTTCCTACTTGGTGTGGTTAAAGTGAGTCACAGGCATAGGATTTCAAAAACTGCATTCCTATTAGATATATAAATGGCATTTTAGGTTTTTAGAAATGGCTTTTAAACCCGTTAGATCTTTAAATACATCTTTTTCTCCAGGAAGCACAACGTCACTTTATGGTTCAGTGATAAAAAATGCAATGTGCTTGGACAGTGAAGTTGGAATTTACAAATCCTCAGATAAATTTGGGCTAAAGGATTTCATTGTTAAGTTCTGTTCCCTTCGATCACGAGTGGCAGGATTCTTCTTCCCTTCAGGAGACACCTGTCAAATGGCCCTACTCTCTTAGCATGAGAGAATGACCGACTGTCTACCAAGTAGAATTTTATAGATGGGTGAGATTGGTCTTATCTGGTGTGCTTCCTGGTGCACATCTTTATAAATAGAAGTCTGATTATTTGAGATATTATAAAACTCTGTTTTTTCCATAGCTGTTATGTAAAGGATTAATTTTGGCTAGATATCTGGTAGAACATTCTTCTAATTTAATGAAGCAGAAAGGCAGAACAGCATGGAGTCTAGATGATTCCTAGACAGAGTATAAAAAGCACACCTCTGCAGAGTTTGTTAGAAAAGACAGTGAGGGATGGGAAGTTTAAATGATAAATGAAAAAAGACATAGGAAGCAGATGTAGATTCAGAGGGCTTCTAACCAGAACTAGTTATATAGCTAGTTGGTAGCAAAAGTTTGATACTCTTAATGAGCCAAAAAAGTCCTGCTGAGCTGTTTAAAGCTCTGCAGGCACTGACACACTGTAGGTATTTCTGCTTGATTTGAAATAACAAGGTTCTGCTTCCAGGAAGACATGAACTGGTGCTTGTGAGCAGCTACATATCAGAGCCCTGTCAGACACAGAGCCAGACACTTGTGGCAGTGTCTTACCCAGGAATGACATATGTTGCCAAGTGTCACCCCTTCATTTTTAAAATGGGATTACAGAGAAGGGAATGGTAGTGATGCTATCATGACATGGAATACTTAATTACTGGGAAGGGGGGACCTCAACCCCTGTGCTTTCCTCAGCCTGTGGAAGCTCACATTTCCGAAGAGGAAAATCCAGAGTATCTACTCAGTAGGTTTGGGGCCTGTCCTTCTCTCCATCTCTCCTGGTTAGATAAAAAGGCACACCAAACTCTGCACGCTCTCCGGGTGTGTGTCAAAGGGAGCGCAGCCCTGGCCTCTCGTGGCTAAGGAATGTTCACATGGAGTAAAGGAAGACTGGGCTGCATCACCCATGCTCTGAAAGGCTTCCATTAAGCACCTCTGTAAAAAAATACAGTCTCTGGAGTGGACACTGGCACATGGGATTTCTGGTTGTTGGGTATCCATTAGTTGTTTTTTTGTTTTTTGGGTTTTTTTTACTGGAGCAAGAGCTCCCACTGCTTTCTCTTGTCCCTGTTTTTGCAACTTTGGCCTCCTCCAGGGAAGTTAAGCCTGCTTTATGGTTTTTTTTCCAAGGCCTAATCCATTCATTCTTACTACTTCATTTTTTACAGGACCAAGCTACAGGAGTTGCCAGCCAAGAGAGGCTCTAGCCACGCGGTGGCACTCTCTAGCTTTGCATCAGTGGCCTCTAGACAAGAAGGTTAAGAAAGGAATTCAGAAACCTGAAAAAGTAGCACACTGTTCCTCCATTACCCTTCCTTTCCAACTAAAATCTAATACCTCTTGAAACCAAAACCCACTCAAAAAAACCCTTCAAAAATTATGACCTAGATCCAAGCTGGGGCTTCAAGCACCTTTACTGGGAAAAGAGAAACAATCTTCCCCAGACAAGCATCTGTGTGCTCTGTTGCAAAGGAAATATGCTCCAAGAAAGCAATGGAGCACTTGCAGGGAGCAAAAAGAGTTGATGATAGTAATTCTAATCTACTTTGAAATGCTTAAATTTCTGGTAACTGACTCGCACAGACAACCTGGAGAAAGTTGGCTGCTCTGAGGCAGTATGCAGCTCTATTTGGTAACAGGAAAAGTGGAGTGCAAATACAGAATACTGTGGCAGAGAAGAAACCTAGTAAATGAAATTAGAGGCAGGCACATGCTGAAAACTGTTGGTGTTAGTGTAAAATGGTCAACTTTTGACAGCTACATTTTTTGTCAAGAGAAATGCCTGGTATGAGCCTGGTGCTACAGCAGTTTAGGCAGTGACATTCAAAATACTTAGCATTCAGAGCAAACCACTTTTTCTGAAAAAGTACCGAAGATATTAGCTGTTTTCCCACTTAATATAAATTGCCTGCCTGGTGTTATTGTCTGCTGATGTGCTAAGGAGATGTTCCTCTAAATATTTTGCTTCTAAAGCTTTTCTGCCTTCATTTTGCCATTTCAGATAATGAAGGGAAGAAAAATAATGTTTAATTTCCCAGAATATTTATCTCTATCTGGCACTTCAGCCACTGAGTGGCAGCTTAA